GCGCAGTCGCTCCATCTTGTTGGAACCACAAATTAAGATGCTGCTCTACCGTTGGCCGCAAAAAGTTGTCAATCATTGTTCTGTAAGAAGTCCCAGAAATCGTTTCTGGCGTATCGCACCAAACAATGCAACTGGATGGGTGTACCTGGTGCTGGTGTGTTGCCCTTGGATTTTCAGAGCCCCACCATCTACAGTTTTTCTTGGAAATGCGCTTCATCCGACATCAAAACATTACCTAAAAAATCAATTTGTGTGGCTAATTGTGTAAAATGAATAGCGTATTTTAGTCGTTGTTGGTGGTCTTGCTGTAAGTATCCATTATGATTTTGCAAGAGATTAACTATAACATGCATAAAGAAAATAACAATAATATTAAAAAATAAACAAGTTAAACGTGTTTAACATTGGTAGGTATTATTTGGCCCACCCTGTACATGCACATGTATATGAAAATAAACTATCCCACCCGACCCAGAAACTTATGTTAGCGGATGTTACGAGTTTACGATAGTTTCTCTTATCCTCAAGCTCCGCCTCACCTAAGAGTCTCGTATTTCAAACAGAAGTTTGTATTTTTACTTTTATATCCGTTGAATGTATCGAGTATTTATTTATTCATTTTATAAGTTTCCTCTTACTTTTTCGGACAAAATATTCGAAAGTGTATATAGAAGCAGGCATCGCTTTAATAAAAATTATGTTAGAACTCCAAAACAACTAAAAAGTAAAACATTAAAAGTAAGTAGATGTAATTTGAGCATAAATTCATATGTAGGTATATGTACATTAGGATGGTCAAAAAAAAAGTTAAGTCGACATTTTACCGCCCTCACCCCCTAGGATTGTTCTATACCGAAAAAATTATACCCCTGTTTTTTCTTTTATTTTGAAATCAAAAAATATTTAGAGGTCGCTCAAAGCGCTCAAAGTTTTCCATGTATTTGATATGGCGAATAAAAAAAGTTTTCGTAGAAATGGTATAGAATTTTTGAAAATCAATATTTTTTAGTCGGAAAACTTTGGGACGTGAACCGGTTTTGAACCGATCCGGTTTTGAACCGGAAAAGTGCTTTTTTCTATTAATTAACTGAACCATTAACCGAACCGAAATTTTCCACAAATGTTTGATCCGAACCGAAAACCGAATCACTTTCCATAAAGGTTTAAAAGTTCGTTTCAACCAATTTTCAATAGATAAATGTACCCACTATTTTTTGTTTTTGTTAAACATGGTAATACCTACCATGTTTTTTTACCATGTGAGAATATCAATGGGTTGCCTACCCATCTCATTTGACAGACCGCTTAACCTTGCGCGTTGTTGCACTTGACACTTGACACTTAAACTTGCGCGTTATTTTTTTTTTGTTTTTCGAACCGTTGAACCGAACCGAAACCCCGGTTCAAAGACCAAAAAAACCGCTTTGACGAACCAATCCAAAAGTGCAAAAACGGTTCGAACCGCAGAACCGAACCGACCAAATTTTTCATCCGGTTCACGTCCCTGGCCAATAATAATACCCAATTCTTTAATATATAATTTTTTCACAAACTGAATATTTACTGTTGCGAAAAAAAAGCAAAATGAATTTTATCGTTTGCTTTGTTTACACATTTGAGTTCCTACAATTTTATCGCAAGCGACACTGTGTGTACACAACTCAATTGTAAATAGCTGTTCGAACTGTCCTTTTAATTAACCAAAGTTCCATCGGCACTTGCTACAACTGAATGCAAAAAAATCAGCTTCTTTCCCTCACCAAAATTAGGTGCAATCTGCCATTATGCAATTGCAGCTGCAGTCACTAAGTGCAGCGTGGCTCGTCTAGCGGGGTCTTTTTTAAAACTCGTGCTTTGTCAATGGGTTATAAGATTTAAACGCGTACCAGAAAGTTGAAAAACAGACACCTAACGGGGCTTATATTACTATTGTATGCACCAGTATAGAAAAAATTGGAACTGAATTCGAAATTGGCATTTTAACACCGCCAGCTTATACGGCCACGACAGTCGGGTCTACGTAACCGGAACGACCCAGATTTATATTTGGCCAAGGACTGTTACTCCAGCAACACTCCCCAAAAACTCTTTGGGGAATTTGTATGCTGCTACAACAACAACAACAACGGCCATATGGATTCACGCTTTCGAAATTATTTCATTTTACCGTTTAGCTCCTTTCAAATTGCTGATCAGATTTTGATTTATCACTTTTGCTTATCATAACTTTTGCACTTCAGTCTTTTTTTATATAAAACTTCGGTATTTGATTAAAAGTTTTCGTAGGTTTAAAACGCACGACGAGTCGAGGAATATAACAACAGATTTCGAAATTAGCCAAAAATCTCCCTAATATTAAGATTTTGGCACTGAACGTATTCTAGTCAAGGATTAAATTTTACTTTTTTCTCATTCTTTAAAAAAAGACGCAAAAAATACCAAATAGGAGCGCCAATGTGGTCGTTTTAGTTTGTAGAGAATTGAATGAGCTTAAACTCTGCATCCACAAAGACAACTTGTGGACAATCTAGTAGATGCGCCAAACAGTTAAAGTTGAAAATATGTTGAGCTTATTCTGCTGATGGACAATGTTTATATTTAATTGACTTAAAATTCAGTTTTTTCAAAAAAATTCTGAAAGTACCGGCACTCCAAAATATCCAAATTATACAACATAAAAACTATCGCAAGCGCCAATTCTTTGATAACTTTCCTCTCAGCATGTTCAGGAAAAATATCGTAAGCGCCATTTTACCTTTAGAAAATAAGGTATGCAAAAAATAAATAGTCCCATTAGAAAGTTATCATTCAATAAGGAGAATTAAAAAAACCTCCTGTAAAATTTACCTTTTGTCGCTTACGATAAAAGCATAATCAGAGGTCGATTTGTCCTAATGTATGCATAAAACTTCACATTTTAGGTAGCCGTACACAATGGATGCATATACGTTTTAGGTGGATATCTAGAAGATAAAACAGTTGAGCGTTATCACCCTGAAAGTGACAAATGGACAAAGGTTGGTTGAAATAGTTACACAAAAAATTTAAAAACACCAAAATACAATTTTTTATTACTTCTCATAGATGTGCTCTCTGAATGTTGGACGTGGTTGCATGGGTTGTGTTTTTGTAGGTGATAAACTGTGGGCTGTCGGAGGTTCAAACGGACTTTATATAAATAACGACATGTCAGTTTATAATGCCGAATGTGATGAATGGGTCGAAAAGAAACCAATACCTGAACTAGGTGAATACATGTGTAATTTTGTGCCTAAAACTTTACTTCAATGTGAATAAGAGATAAGGAAATTTACAAAGTACTTAGTTGAAGACTTACTAGAGATCAATGTATTTATTTTGCTAACGCAACTTTTAATTTTCACCTTATCTTGAACATGAATTTTAGTTTAATGGTTTCTATTACTTTAAACTATGTTTGCTTGCAAAATGCGTTTTTTAAATATATAGTAAATATATCCAACAAGGTAGAAGTGATTTTGATGGTTCTCCTTTTTGGACTGCGGCTGGAATATCAAATAAATAATAGATATTCGAAATCGTATTGAAGGAATTTTTTGTAATCTTTTTTAACACTACATATCGATGGCTGAGTGGAAGATCGACTTATCTCGACAGCCAATTCGAAAACGGCCTATCTCAGAAAACTTTTCAAGAATGCCCTACTTCAGAATTTGATTGAGAACGCCCTATTTCAGAATTTGATTGGAAAACATCCTATCTGTGAATTTGGTTGAAGAACACCCTGTCTCAGAATTCAGTTCAAAAACGCCTTATCCCAAACGAAAATATATTAGGATTATTCTCGAAGTCTTGCACGTAGCAGGGAATATATCAAATGCAAAAATACTATTCCAAATTTGCAAGAGTACGAGAGCCCCTCATCGCAAAATAGTAGCATGCATTGGTGAAGAACAGCGAAGTTCTGTATCAAATACAATAAGAAGATACAGCAAAAAAAAATGAATTGAGCGAAATTAGAGTAATGAGAGAAATATGTAGCAATTCCAACAACAAAACAACTAGCAAAGGGTCGCATTTATCTTTCTATGCTTTTTTGCAAAATATATACATGGGTTTCGACGTTGCGCATTTTGCAGCGATAGGAAATGATGTTTCCCATGTATTTTGTTGTTGTGTATTTGCAAGTTATGCAATTTGTGCTACGTGCAAACACTTTGCAAGATTTCGAGAATACTCCTATTGAAAATGTGCTGGGATACGGCGTTTTTGAACCGAATTCTGAGATAGGGTATTTTTCAATCAAATTTTAAAATAGGGCGCTCTTCAACCAAATTCAGAAATTGGGCGTTGTTGAACAATTTTCTGAGATAGGGCGTTTTCGAACTGGCTGCCGAGATGGGTCGATCTTCCACACAGCCATCGATATAGTCGGCTACAAAGAGAGCTAAATTTGATTGAGTTAGCGCCTTCCTATTTTTTACGCCAACTGGAAGTGCCAAATGAAAATAAATCATTCTTTGTGAGCTTCTATAACCCAGCTTCATCCATTTGTTTAATGAATGAAATCTATTTTGTATGAAATTTAACGTGTTAGTAAATGTTTCGCGAGTGCGTTGGCTGAAAAAATCCTGACCCAAATATTTTAAATTAAATATTCAAACATATTTTTTTTTTAATCTTGCACTCATTTGTTTAATGTACAAATTATATACCAATCGAAAGTATACAGCCTATATAATGTGAAAACGTTGGGTTGTCTATTTTTTCCTGACTTACCTATCGGGCCGGTAGATATGAACAGGTAAGCAATACTCATCTGTTTAACACATTCTATAGGCTTTATGCTTTCGATTAGTATATATGTAATTTGTTCATTTAACAAATGAGTGCAAAATTAGAAAAAAATAATAATTTTTGAATATTTAATCAAAAATATACTGGCCAGTACTTTTTCAGCCAAATCACTTCCGAAATATTTCCTCACAAGTTACAAATTCACAAAATAAATTTCATCCATTAAACAGAAGGCTGATGGTCGTGCCCTATTCGGATCTTCTACTATTTACAAAAATCATTCTTCAACTACTTTCAAGTTCTTTGTGAAAGTCGAACATTTTTTTTCTTCTCATTAAACTCGCCATTTGAATTTTTGCTGGTATAACATAAAACCATTAAAATACCTTTAAAAGTATATGAATCGAAAGAGTAGAATAAGACCAAGGACCATTATTACTTTTCTATATTGTAATTGATCAATAAAGTTGTGTAACTAAAAATATTCTTGAAAAGCTCTACTTTGAATACGTTTTATCTAAAATTGCTG